CAGCAACTGAGAGGGACATCTCGTGCGCTTCCCTTGATGTCCATTGTACCTCTTGGTGCTGGATGGTGGTGAGCTTTAGGCTGGGATACGTTGGTGATTTCCTCGTGCGCTTTCCCTTGGAGATCTCCGACCGCCCGCCAACAGTTCGAGTGTGCGCATACCCATTCGGACCGCCATTTTTAATTAATTATCGCGTGAGGTAATTGCGCGAAAGCCTGACTCGAAGGTGTTCTGGCGTCTCGGTGCGTCTCCGTATCTCGCTCGACCATCCACCGATAGGCGTCTGAATTATATTATCGTTATGCTATCTATTGTTTTTTTTTTTTTTTGTGTTTATTACCTCGAGCTTGCTCGTCTATTTATTCGGCTCTTACTAATAATCCTCGGGGAACGTCAGACGCCGATTTGTTTCCAATTTTTTTATAGTTCTTCTATCTTTTATGTCAAAATATGAAGAAATCTGTTATCATTTTTAGCTTAAATTAATTTTTTCAATTTTTTCGAAATTTTTCAAGTTTTGCACAAGTTTTACACTATTTTATATATATTTAAAACAATATTTCTTAAAAATATATGTATCTGATTTGTTGAAACTTGCACACGCATGTCGCCGATTATGAATCAGAACCGTTTTGTAAAATTCAAAATGGCGGATCTAATATGGCTGACGTCATTGTTGAAAAAGTGTTCAGTTTTACGCTACATTCGACGTTGGGTAATCATTCGGCTCACTATCCAGCAAACAAGCTCATTTTAACGTGAAAATCTGGTAAAAGATGAACACAAGAAAAATGAACAAAAGAAGGGTGAACAAAAAACTTGAGAAATTTCGAAAAAGTTTAAAAAATTAATTTAAGCTAAAAATGATAAGACAGATTTCTTTATATTTTGACATTAAAAACAACTATAAAAAAATTGGGAACAAATCGGCGTCTGACGTTCCCCGAGGTTTACTTGTACAAATAAACAAAAGAAGAAGAAAGGTCATGTCTATAGGCACTCGCTCCCACGTTGTTCATATACATTCTATACGTTACTCCTACATAAGCTTCTTTCAGAGTGTGAAAAAAATATATATTTTTTAAGGAGAACGCTATATATAATATTTCCACTGTTTCCTAATAAACACACGAGCAGCTGAAGCGTACGATCCTTGAGCCAATGCCGCTTTGTTTTCTCAAATGCGAGCGACGCGAGAAGAGACGGAACTCGAGACGAAAAACGCGTCTAAGGCGTTCGTCACGCCTGAAGACAAGTGGCTGAAAGACGACCGGCAAGTCGACGCGTTTCTCTCTCTCGTGATCAGAAATCCGCGGAGTCGCCGCCGCCGATGAGATACGCGCGACTGCACCGAGCGACGCGTAGGCGGCGTCCGCCGTGAACCGCATCCCACGTGGCCACGTGGCCGCCGCACGGACCGTGTCTGCAACACGCACGTGTATTAATCTGCATAAACTCATTCCTATGCAAACGAAGAGGATTCGACGTGAAACTAGGATACCGCGGCTTACATCGCGGCTTAAACTGCCTGCTACGAGCCGGCGCGGCGCTCGCGCGCGCGCGCGCGCGCGCGCGTGCAATCCGCCGGACTACACGGATGTATAAACGCGTATAAACGCGCGTATTGTGCGTATCGCCGGCGATGCCGATCGTAAACGGAATCCCCGCCGTTCGCCTCGTTTAACCGCCGCGCGTCGACGGCATAATAATCGCGCGAGAGTCGGAGTAGACGACGGTGGCCGCCGGCCGGCGAGAAGGACAACACGACAACGTCAATAGCACCTGCCTGAAACGATCGCGATAATCTGTCCTCCTCCACCCCCGCCCCCACCCCTGCCCCTCCCTAGCCTCGTCGTCGTGGTCGCCCAGCGAGATGAAAAGAAAACAATCGATGAATAATTTTGCGACCGTCGCGGCGGAGTGCTGCTTACCGAGCTGCCGGGCGCCGTAGAGCGGTGTCGGTTTGAGCGACCGGGTGAGGGGGGTTCCCCCCACGGGGGAATTGATTTCGACGAAGCGTATCGCGGGCGTTAAGTCCCTCATGAATACAATGAGAAGATAAAGCTTTTATGGCGGCTCGATGTATAAACGATACTGTTTTCCGATAATTTCTAATTTAACACTCGGCGCTTAGCGAGATTAAATGTTTACGCGCTCGGTATGGGTTGACGAGGGGGGAGCGGGGGAGGAGGAGAGGAAGAAGACGAGAACGGTGTGTTTCTCGACCACCGTGACGTTTCATTAAATATCGCAACAACTTGCGATCCCGCCGCTCATGTTAAAGTAACCCTCCGCTGTCCGCTCGCGCGACAACTTCTCTCCTCCGCCGATCAGTCCCGCAGATCGTGTCCGTGTCGTGTTTTAATCGCTCCCGTCGTCGTCGTCGTCGTCGTCGTCGTCGTGTATACATCGCGCGCGGTTACGCTCTCGCGTGTATATATACGCTTCGACACGCGAAGCGACGATAAAAAAGCCGCTCTCGCGAGACGCGAAAAGCGTCCCGACGTAATTCAATTATCCGTCTCTCGCAACGGGAGAGACGGAGAAGGGAGAAGGAGAGAGTTAATTTCCACGCGCGCGACCAACACCTCGAACGACTCGTTTACTTCATAAATATTCCATCGCTCGATTACATGGAAAATCAAACGGCCGACACGATCACCGGCGATACGTCTTCGCGCGCGTCGCCGAGGACACTTAAATAAGACTCAGAATGATGAGCGGCCTCGCTCATGCTGCCCGAGCGGCAGCTGCCGCCGCTATGGAGGAGTATACTTCGCGAATGCGCGATGCTCTTGGCGAGCAACCGGCGAGAGAGCGACGCGGAGGACAGATTTCGCGGAGTGCCTCGCGACTATAAGCCGCCGCATGTATGTTTAATGCGGAGCACGCGAGGCCTACGACCGGCAGAGCGACTTCTTACTACCGTTCTTGCCATTATTTATTCACCGTCTGCGCAATTACCGGCGGGTGCTCCATCAAAGTCGAGGTACAGGGAATCGCACCTTCTCTCCTCGCGGCTGCGTCGAGCGAGACGGTGAGAGAGAGAGAGAGAGAGAGAGAGAGATGCGCTGCGCGAAACGAGCTTGTGTACGCGCTCGCTCGCGTCTGACGTGCAGAGCGCAGAGTTCTCGCGCGAGCCGAGAAAGAAACGCGGCTGATCGATCGGCCGGATCGGTGGCCGACGATCGCTCGCGGCCTCGAATCTGTTTCTGCCTGCGAGACTCGACACGCGCCGCGTTCTCGCGCCTCGTTCGTTCCCGGGAACGCCGCGTGACGGGTGCATCGCTGCGCGGCGGCAGACGAGTCTAACTGCGCCCTTTGACTGCTCCACGAGGAGAAAACGCATCTCCGAGACGCGCGCGCGTCTCGTGTAATCGGCTGAACGAGTATTACTCACTCGGCAGGCGCGCGTGCCGACGAAGAGGCGTACACTGTAAGAAATGATGTGTTAAACATTTAACATATTTCATGTGTCTCAAATCATCCACTCTCCGATTGCGCGTCAATTTAATATACAGCAAATATGTTAAAAAATAACACGCATAATGTGTAAAAAATTAACACAAGACTTGAACATTTGAATGCCGTCAAGAATCACAGTTTGTGTTAAATTGACGTACAATGAGTGTTACTTCGACATTTGGGAAAAGTAACGATCTATGATTTAATGAAATGAAAATGTTAGATTGACATAATCCATGTGTTGAAAATTCAATCTTCACACACGAGAAATGTTAACATTATACACTTAACACATGATGACTGTTACAATGAGGAAAGTAACCCTATTTTAAGTGTTGACTTCAACATATAAAATATGTCATAGCAAGAGTTCATGCATTTGCATGTACATTGTGTTATCTTAATACTTGGAAATGTCATTTTAACACTTGAAAATAGATAATCTTAATTTAACACAAGAAAGTCTAGGTGACACAATAACGATATGTTAAATTAACGCACGACTGTGTAAACAATTCAACACAAAACTTTCTACACGCAAATAGTTTTTAACAAAAGTACGAAATGTTTTTAACTGTGTTCAGAGATCAGCGACGTCTTCTGTGAGATTTCAATTTGGCCGAGCATCTTCGTCGAGAATCCGAGGGAACCGTTAAGTGCGCCGCGATGAAGCCGCCGGTGCTCGTGATAGTGTTGTCTCGAGTGATTTTTCGTTTGACGGCGAAGTATCGCGAGAAAGGGAAGGATGAAATCTGCGCCGAAAGCGCGTCCCGTAAAGCCTCAATCTCACGAACCTTCTTCGTCAGCTGAGGGAAATTATTAATTCCGCGCCGGTAAAACTCGATGCTCGTGCTCCATCGTCCCAATTCTGTTTTGACAGGGATTTAGCGTCTCTGCAAAATTTACAAGGCAAGGGTCACCTTGCCTGTGAAATCCCCCGATGTCACATAACGATCTCCTTCGAGTCCGCGGAAATCGTTAACTCGAAATCGCGCGTGAACGATACTCGACCCCAACCCCAACAGCCGCACTATCTCAATCCTTTTCATTTGACAATGAAATCAAGAGAAAAAGAGAGAGAGAGGGGGAGAAAGAGAGAAGGCTGCGCCCGAGGAGGGAAGGGGAGAGAACCGCGCAGCAACATTTACCCCGGGAAACGTCTTCGCGCTGACAGCGTCGCTGCCGCGTGACAGCGAATCTCGCGGATCGCGCGGCTCTCGGAGAAACACGGAGAACGAGCGTGATACCAGTTGCGGCTCTGCGGCAACGTCCTTAACATTCAAGCTTGACATTCCGCCGCGCGCGCGCGCGCGCGCGACAACTGCGCGCACCATTTCTCGCCGTCGGCGGAGGCTCGTAGCCTCCGGAGGGACAGGGGTAAGACAGAAACAGAGACCGGGGAAGAAAGAGAAAACGACCGACGAAACGAGCTTGCTTTGTCTCCCTCCTCCCCCCCTCCCGCCTCCACCCATCTCCCCCGCCGTCGACGACAATCGCCGAGCATGACATAACGATTGCGCTTCTTTTTGTTTCAGCTTGACGAGGCAGAAATGGCACGGCGGGAGTCGCGGTGAGGAAAGGGCGAGGGTGAAGCCCTCGCAGGAAAGGGGAGCTATGGTGAAAAGCTTGGGTTTCCTCGCCAAAAGGGCGCCACCTGCTGCCGTCCACCACCTCTTCATCGTTTTGCTCGCTCTCACCCCCGCTTACCACGGCGTGGACCTCTGTAAGTAGCTCTGCCAAGCTCTGATCCGCAAGTCTCTCGCGGTATACCCGAGATCGCGCATTGCTCGGGAAACGACGTCGATATCGTCGACGTCGTGGAACTTTGTAACTATAGCCGTCTCCTTGGCGCGCGCGGTCAGGTTGTCGCGTTTATAAGTTATTAAACGACGCGGAGGTCGCGCAACTACTCCGGAACTTAGCAGCCCACCGCAGTCGACGAACTTTCGATCCGGGATCGGCTTTCACCGTTGGTCATTAGGTGTCTCGTCTAGCGGAAGACGTCGCACCGCGGCACGTCGTGCGCATTCAACGGCCGCCTCGTGAATAGCGCCGGTCGCGCCCGGGGCGGCACGGCGAATTTTCATCGGGCGATCGGAAGAGCGGGGATTTTGTATAACGCGCTTTTACACCCCCAGCGCGTTTGTTTCTCTGTTTGCGACAAAACCCGGATTTTTCCCCGTGCGATCAATCAGCAGTGCGCCGAGTGGCGGCACCATTCCGTCAGGCACACGTATCACGGGAAACGAATTTTTCTTTGAGAAGAGAAACAATATATATAATATATGACATACATTATGTGTAACGGGGAGAGATAGTCGAAAAAGGTATCCGCTAATTTACGACAACAGTCGCGTTGCGAAATAGGAAAATCACTTTTGCAACTAGGGTTGCCATATGGTGATAGAGAAGGAGAGACTACGATAGTCTCGTATCTTTGCTGTTTGTTGAAAAATCCCGAAAAATGCTGTTGGCCGCAACTAGCTCGATCGTTCTTCTTTCTTCTCGCGCGATAAAAATAACGCCCGAGATCGTGAGGTCTCGAATCGATCAATTTAGCCCGGATTACCGAGGGATCTTTGATCGACAGTGCGATCGACAGGGCTTGAAGGAAAAAGCACGGCACGTGTAAATGGGCGCGCGGGTGGCAAATCCCGCCGACGAGACGAGGCTACTGCGAGGAACGCGTCCGCGCGTCTTATCGTCTTATTAATGATAAGTAATCGCCCGCGATATCGAGTAGATGAGTCGAGTAGAGAGGATGGAGGGAGGGGGAGGAGAGAAGAGAGAGAGAGAGAGAGGACCCCTTAATAGAAATAGATCCTCGTCAGCGAAAAATCGCGTCGTAATCGCGGATAACGGCGCGCGCTCAATAATTGCGTCACGCCGCTCTCGGCGAGCGCCGGTGGCGGACAACATCCTCAGCGATTTCCTCCCTCCGTCTGTAATTTATCTTGGCGCCAATAGCCGACGAGAGTAATCGATGGTGTTTTTCCTCGAGTGATGTAACGGCGGGGGGCCGACTCTTGCCGGACATCCGCCGCGAGGGGGTGGCTGCGGCGGCGGTTTCTCTCGCCTCTCCCCCTCCCTCTTTCTCTCTCTCTCTCTCTCTCTCTCTCTCTCTCCGTCTGTCTATCCATCCATCTCTCACTACTTACCACGAGATGTCTGGCCCGTCGTCAGACGTCTCAGGGATTAACGGGGGGTGTCGCGTTTAGGAATCCTCATTCGCTATCGATTTACGAGCGTGACATCTCACAGTGGCTCACTCGTTAGGCCGGCCGACAAAGGAAACGGAAACTCTCTCTCTCTCTCTCTCTCTCTCTCTCTCTTTCTCCTTCTCTATGAGAACCTGCAAAATGACCCTCGAACTTTATCGAGAAAGAGAGTGAGAGTCCTCAGATACACGCGGCAACAGGGAGAGGGGCGAGCAGAGGCCGGCCAGCCGTGAGAATTCCGGCGGGGGTGCGCGATACGCGCGATATATATCGCGGGGCGGACCTTCATTAATAATAATAGCGACTCGCTCGCCATGTTGGCCCGCCGACGATCCCGATCGGCATTTCCTCCCTTTGTTAGCCGCGACTTTCCTACCATTGGATTCGAGAATCGCCTCTGCCGGCCTCTCGCGCGGCCCCGCCGAATTCGAGGACATATATTAGCGCGACGGGATCGCGGGCCGTATCGGGGGTGACCTTCATTAATAATAATAGCGATTCCGCCATCGTCGTCGTCGTCGTCGTCGTCGTCGTCGTCGGAGCCGGAGCGGCGATCTCGAGAGCTCGAGCAGCCTCTCTCGCGTTCTCGTGCTCGCAGCACGACTTCCTCGCTATCGATCGTCGGCCGCGTGCTCCTCCGCGGAATCCGAATACATATATTAGCGGCGGTCATCGCGATATATCGGGGGAGCCTTCATTAATAATAACGACCGGTCCGCGCGCGCGAGCGCGCCGATCGTTTCCTCCCTTTGTCGAGTCGAGACTTTCCTGCCATTGATTCTAATCGGCTCCGGCGCACAGCCCGAGGAAGTCGGATATATATTCGAGCACCGGAATCGCGATATAACGAGGAGCGCTCCGTTAATATAGCGGCGATTAAACCCGCCGCGAGCCGCGCTAGTCGCGTTAGTCGTTCTCATTCTCTCGCGACTTTTCGCGAGCCCGCAGGCCCGCCGATGTATCGATCTGTATCGCCAAGTTGCGGGCTCCTGCGCTCATGTTCCCCCGAAACTTTGGCTATCGTTTTGGTTTATCGGTTACTTGCCATTTGCAGACGTCCGTAATCGCGTGAATTGGGTTAGTTTGCGCTGAATTGTTAACTGTGAATTCTCGATTGCAACGTCGAGTAAATTTACCAACGAAGAAATACCCGAAAGTTTTCTTTTCGTCGATGTTGATGAGCTCGAGATACATTATAGAGCAGCTGAAAATAAGAGACAAATATTTTTTTACATTGAAAGGCAAACATATAGAAAATAAAGGAAATTTGTTAGGTGGGATACTCATAATATATATTTACCGAAATTTAAATTCTTTCCTTTAAATAGAACGAACAATTGCTTTCATCCCAGGACCACAATTTCAAGAATATGTATACGAGTTTTCCCACCTGAAGGGAAATTTTTCTTCCTGTTGATAAAAATTATTAGCATTCATCCGATAAACACAATTTATTTTTTAATAAATGTTTTCTCCCGGTGCGCGCGCCTTTTCACATGTTAGATGATTCACGTAATCTTTTGAAAATAATTCGACAAAATTGACCGAGCGAATATCATCAAGACTGTGAGATGCCTTACAAAGTTTTATGGCATATAACAGCCCATTTAACTCCGCGTTCAAACTCGCCAACAATGTTACGCGATGGCAGAGTGAAGAATATCTCCAAAAGCTTATTTTGACTTCTAAACACACGAAGAAGAGCACGTAGCTGGAAACGAGTATCTCTTATTTTTAGCCACTCCCAAAATCGCCCATCAAAATCGACCACACGCACTCTCTCATGTTTCCTCACACGCAAGTCGCAGAATAAAGTCCGATACAGAACCTACGAGAAGCGATTACGCTCTCCTTCTCTCCCCGTCTCTCCCTCGCGCTCGGAGACCGCTCAAGGAGCGATTCGTCATTGCTCGGCGCGACGAGGTCGAATTTATCCTGCGACCGACGAAGATACAGCCGTAAGAGAGAGCCGCGCACCTCGCGAACGCTGCAACCCCTTAAGTCACGCGCACGAGCGCGACCGATCCGACGGTTCGCTGCGGAGCTTCCATTCGGCAGCGGCAATAAAGTATGTTGGATTAAAACGTAAGACTAAAATATACATCCAGCCGTGCCCCGGGGGAACGACGCGGGGCCGAGGGCTGCGGAATTACGCGGGGGGTGGTGGCGTCCGGCCGGTCGTCCGGTCGGTCGGGGGAAGAACGGTGCAAACTTTCGCCGGTATTAATGGCCACCTACATGCTTGCCGCTGCCCGTTCCGTTCCGTTCCGCGCTGGCTTAGCGCGGATTCCTTCCGTTATGCTTCCCGGGCATAAAGCTGCGACCCTCGGCGTCCCCTCGCCGCCCCCTCCGGCCCCGCCTCGACTCGGCTAGAACGCTGCACCTGCACCTGCACTCGATATCCGGGCATTAGGCATTATCGTCGTCGGCTACGTTGCGTTGTCGGACCCGCCCAGGCTACTTCAAATTTTAGCAGTTTCCGCGCCGCGTAATGGTATCGTAATACCCCCCGGCCCTTCGCTCGCTTGCGTAAACCGTAATCGATGCCCGTGCCGGGGCCGCATCATCATCATGATGCTTTCTCTCTTTGTCTCGCTCTCTCCTCTCTCTCTCTCTCTTTCCCCCTCGTGAGACTCCGCTCCGAGCGAAGCGTGCGTGTTTCATCGGCGCGGTCGATCGGATCGTCGTGTTGCGAATTAGTTACGCCTGGATACGCGCTCCTTTGTCGAATTACAAGGACGCGACGTGTATCGTACACGCGCGCCCGCGCGTCTCTATGAACCGGCGCGGCGCGCGGCTTTGATTGTAATACGTCGACAGCGGGCATCCGGCCCGCTGGAGTGAACGGCCGATGCCGCTCGTGGCCGATAGATAATCGGCGTCTTTGTCCCGCGATTTCTGCGGGAAACAAAGGCCCGATAACGCGTGGGCGGCTAATAGTCGTCGAGAGGGAAAGAAGATGAAGCGAGAGGGAAAACAAGGAGGTAGAACGAGAGAGATGAGCAGATGGATGGGCAGACGAAAGCGTGCGTTAAACATTCTAAAGTTGACCGTCCAGGAACGCGAGCCAATAAAACGCGCTGAGAAAATACGAGCTCGACGCGCGAATTCGAAAAACGCAGAAAATAGAAGGACACGAGATATACACATTTGCACGATCAACGAGAGACAGACGAAGAGAAACCGAGGGCAAAGGGAACGGGAAGAGATAGCTGAATAGAAGGCGAGATGTGTCGCGGTTCTTCGCGTCGTTCCTAATGATACCGCCACGACGCGGCCGCGTATGAATGCGAAGATACATCATACTTGCTCTGAAGTTTATTGCACGAGAGGAGAACGACGACGACGACGAGGACGGGGACGAGGACGACGGGTCGCACGGGAACGCCTCTCGAAAATCCCCGAGAGGGGCCGGCCGGGGAACGATAATGTATGCAAAATAGACGGTATCGTTCCTCCGATGGTCCTTAACCCTGTCATTGGTGGTCGTCGACGAGACTGCGTGCGCGCGCGGGGGCGCCGATCGCGAGACGTCTCTCCCGTCGGACATTAAATCTTCGCGAGATTAAGCGCCTTATGAGTCTCATTAATGAACGCGCGCGGTCCTGTGAGAACTCGTAAAGGCCGGCGAGCGCGCGCCCTCGAGGACAACCCCGTGAATCGATCGATCGATGTGCAAGCGGCCGGCGATCGGAAGAGAAGTCGCACGGCCGCGCCGGCTCTCTCTCTCTTTTGGGAAAGGAAAATCGGAGGAAGGTGGAGGGAACCGGTCGCAGGGTTATGTAAATTTTGTCGCGCAAACTGCAATGGAGTGGAATTGAATGAAGCTTGAAGTTGGATCGACAATTTGACGTGGCAAAAATTGAAATGCAAAATTTATCCAACGGCGAAAGCTCAGCGAAACTGGAACGCCGCGGTTCTACGTACGACGTGAATGTGCTCTCAACCGCCAAAAGGTCCGCCAAACCGCATGATTCGAGCATGATTTTACCTCCGGTTAATTAAGTCAGCCGGCAAATGGGGCTAATAATGCGCCGGTTCAGCATTATAATCGCTTCTTCGAACGAACATTTTCGCGCAAACAGAAGATCAAAGGAACAGAGATTTTGTCGAAAATATTAGGGCAGCTGGCTCTTGCGGCACGTACAACTCTGTGAATAAGAGAGAAAGAGAGAGAGAGAGAAAGAAAGAGAAAGGGAGAGAGAGAGAGAGAGAGAGAGAAAGAGAGAATGAATTTATTTGTATAAATATAATTCAAACGAAAATTAAAAGTTACAAAGGGCTCTTTGAATAAAATAAAATAAAAGAGACAATAAAGCCGATATCAAAGGATAAAAAATCGTGTAAGAGTCAATTGCAGATCCAATCTGCGTTTATTAAAAATACACGCAGACGCAATTTAACGCCGAAAAATACCGGCGATAATCCGGCGATAAATCAGTTTGTCCCCGCACGCGCGCGCGATACATTTGTAACAAACGCAATTTGTGCTCGTGTAATTGGCTCTCACCGTTCTCCGTCCTTTGTATTTTTTTTTTTTTTATTTCAACTGACCGTTTTCTACAATGTACATTATTACTACCGAGAGACCGCGACTCCGCATCGCGTTGCCGGTGCGAGGGTACGGTGCACGCCCGGCGATCGACATTACGCGCGATAAATATTCCGCGGGGCTATCTCGCGTACGAGGGTGGCGGGCGGCGGCGATCCTCCGCAGTCCTCTCGGCAACGGCCAGTTTCCGTCCGCGAGGCAGAACAACGGCAGCCGTGTTCACCTATGAAACAATTAGATCGCCCCGCGAGATACGGAAAACGTCGGTCCCTCCACGCCGCCCGGTGCTGCAGGTAGGAGCCACGTAGCGGCGTCCTCGCGCCGTCCGTAACCTCCAGCCTCGGCGCGACAGGCAGCCGAGAGCGTAAAGCGGCTATCGCGCGGATCCATCTCGGTTAGCTGGTTATTTAGCCGTTTATGATCCGCCCGTGATGCATGCCGATTCCTAGTTATATGTATGTACAGGGTGTCTCGCGTAACTCGCGCCCGTTATTTGTGCAACGCTGCTGCTCACGAATTTCCCGAACTTGAATGTCTCGACAACTTGTCCTCGGAGGAAATGTCGAGCAACGTTGATCTATGGTTTATTCAGGGTTTATTTCTAGAAAGAGATCGACTGAGCGAACGGACCGCAAACGCGTTTCGATCGAAGGCAACAGAACATCCGGCTCTTGGTGCCGAGTTCGGTCTCGGAATCTGGAAATTTAGCTGTGCCATCGTCACGCTGACACAAGCGATCTTTCTTCCCTGTGTGACTTTTCCACTTTCGACATGACAAGTTTCTGAGGCTGATACCCCGTATTTCATAGTCAAGCCTTATGTTCGAGGCCTCCTTATATCCATCTTTAGATGGATGCTGCACGGGTTATTTTATTGGCTACAGATCGTCTGAAGATAAACTTAAGAAAGTCTCAAATATAAAGCCTGACTATGAATACCGGTGTAAGCCTCGGGTAAAAATTCCGCTCGGGTCCGCTCGAAATCGATCGAAGCAGATCATTTTGCGATATTCACTTGCTCGCCCGAGGCTGAGCTCGCGGAAAGTCTCCGCTTTTTCCCCCGGAGACCGTCGGTGTCGCGACATTTCTGTCAAGCGAAAGATGACAAATTCTCACGAAAAAAAAAAAAAAAAAAAACAGCACTGCCTAAAGAGCGAACGCGAGTCGCGGGACACCCTGTGTACAAAGAGAAAGAGGACGAGAGAGGAGATAGCGTGTATATACGAATGAATACACACACACACACACACACACATCGAAAGCGCTTTAACCTCGACGTCGCGCGTTCGTTTGTTGCAGCCCAATGCATCGCGCCGCTCGGCATGGAGTCCGGCGCGATCCCGGACGCGGATATCAACGCCAGTTCCAGCTTCGACACCGGAAACGTCGGTCCCCAACTGGCACGGTAAGCGACAGTTTTTCATTCGAATAGTTCGACGGCAGAACGGAGGCGGGGCGAGGGGGGCGGGTGCCGCGCCGCCACGGCCATCGATCACTTCGTATCTACCGGCGCCTTCTGTTGCGTGCTCGATGCAGCCGCGATCGACGACGCGACGCGACGCGACGCGACGCTTCGTGACGCGACGTGGTGCGACCTGACGCGCGCGAGAACATTTTTATCGCGAGCTCCCGGGCTCGCCCCTCCGACGACGAGTTCGACGACGAACCAAGTCGCGGCCCGGAGGAGGCGGCGGGAGGTCACGTTCGATCGCGGCGATAATTGCGAAGTCTTTTTGGGCCGAAGGCATTCCGAAGGCTGCTGGCAATACTGAACAGGTGTAGTTCGCATTATGTACCCTCCAAGTGTCTTGGAGTGGGATCTCGCTCGGAACGAGTGGAACACGAAGCGACGGTGAAGGGGGTATTGCCACTTGAAATCGCGGGAGAGTCGAATTGTTTCGCCCACTCAGATCTCAGAGAGGATTCCCCGACTTCATGTGAGCGAATGTTTGAATTCATTAGCGCCAAGATGCTTTCCCGTGTCGGTGGAGCGCATCAAGGAAGATGCTCGTTCGAGCACCTCCGCGAGGTGAGCGAAGGATCCACTCGGAGTCGTGAGCGACTCGGCGGTGGCTCTGCTTTTCGAGCGAAATTCCACTCCGACGAATGTAGAAAGTGTGGACCTGCGGTGCTGTCGCGTGTACATTTCGGAGCGCAGCCTTCGGGTCGGCTGCGGAAGTTGAATCGAACTGACTCGAGAGGCAAGTCGGCCGTGGGATTCGCTTGTGTATTTATCGTGGGAGGAACGGTCGAAAAGAAATCGTAAAACGCTCCTTTTGGCTACTTCCAGCTACTTTTTCAACGAGAACTTCCTTCCGGTCGAGCAAGGTACTTTTCCCTGCGAGCTCTCCGCTTCGTTTAATCAAACATGGGGAAAGTGGCACGAAGAAAATAACGTATATCTTGTGTTACTTTCCCCCCTCCCCCATGTTTGATTAAACGTGGCGAAGGAATCGCGGGAAAAGCAACCGTGTTCTATTCTGCGTTTCTTTCCCTCCGCGTTCCGCTCCCAAAGACACATAAACGCATGGCCGACGTGCCTTGGGCCAACTCCCTAATCTTTGCTATCTTCCCTGTGTGCGTCGCAGTTCTCCTTGCGATCTCCTCCGCCTCCTCCTCCTCCTTCCTTTTTATGCAATAAAAAAATAAAAACGCAAATCGCGTATAATTGATGAGTCCGCGGGACTTTGCGCTCCGCTCGACGTCAACAGGGACCGTTATATTCTTTTGTTGTCCCGCTTTGCAAACCGCCCCGTGATGAGAGTAATTTTTGCGACGTAATAAATGATGATTGCTAGCCCCCCACCCCGCGCACGAGTATCTCGCCCGTCAAAGTTACGATCGTATCGCTTTTAATATCGCCGAGCAACGACGAGACGCGCGAACGCCGGTCTTCGTCGTTGGGGACCTTCCAAAAGAGAAACAGTGGAACCGAGGGGCGGAGACGGCGGCGAAGGGCAAGCGGGGAGGAGAGCGGTTTCGGTGTCGACAAGGTAAATACATCGCTCGGCGTGTGGAAGGGTTAATCGCGACGCCTCCGCGCGGCGAGCACGAGGCGTGAATACTAATAAAAGCGCGCTCTCTCGTCGGTTATAATATATAAAATCCGGAATATCAGGTTGGCGCGCGGGTCCACCGGGCCGAGAGAAAGAAAGAGCGACGTTGTTACACACGCGGCGAAAGAGAGAGAAAGAGAGAGAGAGAGAGGGAGGGAGGGAGAAAGCCGATCGAGAAGGTAATTATTTCTAATCTTTCGGCCGCGAAAGCTGCCTCGGAACGGATATTGGTCGACGTTTCTTATCGCCTCACCGTCGCGAGACGCAAAAATGCGAGACGTTGGGCCGAGAGCAACGGCGGAGGGAGGGAGGGAGGGAGGGAGGGGGAGAGAGAAAACTCGTGTGGCGAAGCTAATTATAAATTAACGCCTACCCCCTCGGCCGGCGGGGAATAAATTGTCGGTCGCAACAACGTGTAATTAAGTAATCCGCGTGCCTTTTCCATATAGGCTATCGCTTCTCGTTTGGCAGTCGCTCGCGCGAAATGAATATTTATAGCGCCGTTAAATTGATCCTCCCACGGCGTGGCGAGCGGCAGAGAATGGGAGAGAGAGCCAGAGGAGGGGAGGGGGGGGGCAAGAGAACGTCGCCGATTTGTTCTTCTCACCTCGCTCTCGTGAGGCGAGTTTACTTTTTAATCGAGACCCGACTAGAAAGAGAGAGAGAGAGAGAGAGAGAGAGAGAGAGAGAGAGAGAGAGAGAGAATCATCCGGCGCGAATTTACGACCGATCGGTGAATTCGCACGCGTTAACAATTTCCGTGACGCGCTCGTTGCGTCGACGTCGATGAATTTCCCTCGAAAGAGGAAAGCTTACCCTCTCCACTCTCCCCTCCGACTCTCCGGCCATCGCTGTCAAATACCGCCGTTATGTTCCGGCGAGTGAGCATATCGCAACGCGCGGTAGTAACTTAATTAACGGAGACGTCGCTGTTTCGCAGAACTTTTTGCTCTGCGCGCGAGCCGCGCGGCCGCGCGCACATTTGAGCGCACGACGCTGGAATTAATTCTATTCCGAATTAATTTTCACTTATCATGTGGTTGCTATCTACCGCATTCGTTCTTCCCTCTCCCCCTCCCCGCCCCCGCCCCCTCCCATCCGCTCTCTTACCTCGCAAACACTCGCGAAATGACCGTGACGCAAAACAAGGTATCGCCTTCGGCGAGCATGCCTCGCGGGAGTCTCGTCCTCTAACGCAATTATCACAAAGGGACCTTTGACGTATCATGGCCGCGGTAAAAAGAGAGTATTACACCTGGTTTGGCCGGTGGCGAAAGGGTTGGCCGTGTAACGCCTCTGGTAGCCGCCGGTGCAACGCATGAATACGAGATGCAACTGGCGGAGTTGCACGCGCGAGAGCGCGCACCCACCACCTCGACCTCCCCTCATCGACCTCGCAGAGCGCCCGCCTCCACCCGCTCGACCTCTCTCTCTCTCTCTCTCTCTCTCTCTCTCTCTCTCTCTCTCTCTCTCTCTCTCTCTCTCTCTCTCTCTCTCTCTCACACCCCAGTCGCCTCCCTTTCCGTCCCGCTCGCTCGTGTTTAGATATTAATGCGTGGGGCCCGGTATTCGCCGGCGGTTTGCAGTGCAGCGGCGGTTTATACGAATATTCCATCCCACGGGACGTATCCCGCCCAGCAGCAGGCCGCGGTTGTAGAACCGAAGCGGGTGCGCGCACGGCATCGGCCCGAGAGCTGCGAGAGAGAGAGAGAGAGAGGGAGAGAGAGGGAGGGAGGAAGAGAGGTATATACAGAGCGTTAGTCGACGGCCCCGCGGGCTCTCCGATATTAATACATTCCATTACCGCAGACAATGACCGGCTGAATGGGCCTCCGAGTCCTGATGAGCTCCGCTGCGCGCAGCGCCCCACGTCGCGCGCCCGCGCTCTCGCTCGGGTTCCTCTTCCTCCGTCGGCCGTGCGCACGTCACTATCTAATTTAATACAGGCCAGCCTCGGGCGTACGAGCGAGCGCGTACGAGGTGCCGCGGACGTTTACAGCCTCCGCCGCCGTCGTCTCTCCTTTGTGCCGCTGTTGTCGGCAAAGAAAAAAGATTCCGCCGAGAGGGTGGCGGAGCGGCGGAAGGGTGGAGAGTGGCGGCCCCGCCATTTTCTTCGGAATTTCGCGAGATGATAGGCCGACGAGCGCGTTCGTCTCCCTTTCCTGAGCGCGCTGTGAATTACCGCGGTTACGACGCGCGTTTTTCTTCCCATTTTTCGCCCCGCCGCGTCCCTCGTGTCGAGAGCTCCGCTCTCTTTCTCTCTTCCTCTCTTTCTCTTTGCGTGCGTGCGCAAGTGTGCGCGCGCGCGTGTTTCCCAAAAGAATTAGAAAAACCGAGAGGAACGCGAAGTCGAGCTCTCCGAGAGAGAGCGCGCGTTCTCCTGGATTCCTGCCTCCTCCTTCTCTCTCTCTCTCTCTCTCTCTCTCTCTCTCTCTCTCTCTCTCTCTCTCTCTCCCTCCCTCCCTCCCTCCCTCCCTCCCTCTCTCTCTCTTTCTTTCTCTTTCTTTTCGTCTGCTCTTTCTCGCGTTTATGTTGGAAACGCTCCGGTCGTCACGAATTAAAACGCGCGCTTGGAGATGCGCGTCGGTCGGCTTCGCCACGAGAAATGTCACCGGTGCGAACGCAAACATGCGGGTTATAAAATAGATGTGTGTTGCTGACACACACACACACACACACACATTCTCTCTCTCTCTTTCTCTTTTACGGAGCGAAGGAGTTCGTGAGCGGAGTCGCGGTCGCGAGAGAAAACGCCCCACGCGAGTCATCAATCGGCGCGGAAATCCCGTCCCGGGGCGGCGCGGGCGCGCCTGACGCCGGCAAGAATATCCCGCCGCCTCCGAATATGATAGAGTGGCTTCGTTAATTTCAATTGGAATTGAAAACCTGAATTATAACGCCGCGAGCCGCGATCAATCATCCGTGAATGGGAGAATAAATAGCCTCCACCAACGCGTATCGCGAGCCAGGAGAGATAGGCGCGGAGTGAAAAAAGGGCGAGGGAGAGGCTAATGGGGCGCATCTTTCCCAATTATCAAGTGAACAATTTTTGACGCAACATTGAGGGAGTAAGAGGAAGAGAGGAAGAGGAGGAGGAGGAAGGCAACAGCCTTCTTCCCAGTGTTTCGCAACCCCCCTCCCCTCCCCCCTCCCCGCGCTTCGGCGCGGGATCACGCGCTGCGGCCGACCGCCGCGAGTTCTTTCGCGCGCACGTTTCCGCCGTTCCTTTTCTTCGTGTTTCCGTTCAACGGCATTTTCCCAGAATGGGTGCAATTAAGACGCCCGACCGGCTGGCTGGCTGGCTGGCTGGCTGGCTGAGAGGGAAGCAAGCAGCACACAGGGCGAGAAA